CTACTAGGAAAGCCAATAGGTGCACTAGTGAAAAGCAACTATTAATGTATACTTGGCTAGAGAATTAAGTGGTAAACCATTTAAAGACACACTGCTCTGATTGTCAAGTCCAAACTTGCTTCCCTATTTTTTCTAATAAATTTCATGTAAAAAAATTTTATAGACAATCCTCAACAACACATCACCTTATTAGAAGCTCTTGTTGGTAGTTGTTAGTGTCCTTGGTAGATCGATTATTTTTTAAATGGGAAAATGAATTACTTCAATGTAGTTTAATAGACTACTTTCACAGAATGGTGTCCATGAGAGAAAACATTTACTGTTTTCAAGGACCAAGGGGTCTTAGGTACCACAATGATTGAGAGCCACTAGCACAGGACCAGAGAGAAGACAGAAACTCAGGAGAACACCCAGGTGAGGGCGGTGTAAATGGCACCCACCACTTGAGGCAGGCTCAGTTCCCTGTAGAGCTGTGGTCACCATTTGGGGTAAGAGTTAGCTAATTATAAAGGGATCAGAATCCTTTAACTTGATGTTACTTAGCCTTGGTTGTACTGGTGGGCAACAATGGAAAGGGCTTATGCCCAGGCTTTGGCTAAAGCTTTACACTGCATAGAATATCCTTGGGACCATGGGACTGTGGTAGTGCAGATAAGAGGAATCCAAACCAGGTCAAAATTCCAGTGGCTAGAATCCAGCCAACTGTGCCAGCTTCTCCTCACCACCTAACTTGTCTTCATCAGTGCCTTCTTATCTAGGACCTGCTTGGAGTTTGAGATTTAAACTAGGATGATCTGGGGTTCAGGTATATGATGGAAGTAGAGTCAAGCACCAGGTTGGTCCCAGATCTGCAAAAGATTTGGGCTGAGAAATGTGTAAGGAGAACAGGACAGTGATGGACAACTCATGAAAAACCTCTCTCTTACCATTTAGACCCTGGCTTTGCAGCTCGGCCTTTTAGTTTTTCCTTTGTTTGCTGTAATGCTCTGGGACTTTTTCAAGTACTGAAGACAGAGACTCAGGAATGAGACCATGAGGGAGATTTGCTAGGTGAACACAGCCAGGCTTTATTCATCTTGCAATACGGACTCATAGGCGCCTGATTGAAGGAAACAGGGAGGAGCTTTGGGCAGGCAGTGCTCTTCATATAACTCCATGCTGATCAACACACACTTTCTCATGTTCACAGCAGCACACGGGGTGGGGGAGAAAGAGGAAAACTCAAAATATCCAAAGTATCACATCCATAGCGACGAGAATATGAACACAGGAGCACTCAAATGTCACTAGCTACTAGATACACCAAATACTTCTGGAAATGCAAATGCTTGTTTTACAGGAGGACCAACTGCTGGAAATTTTGCAGCTGAGTACATGAAAGAAGTAACTCACTTGTTGCAGAATTACGAGATGGAACCAAAAATAAAGATCCAGCTGCTCCAGAGTGTTGCATCTTGGTGTTACTTAAACCCTGTCAACCAGAGAAGAGCCAAACATTTGCAGTTTATTCCTATTCTCGTTGATCTTTTTGATAATAGACTTGAGCCTACCATGAAAAGTGACATAAACAGCAACCTCCTGCTTAAATTTTGGAGTTGCTATGTTCTCTCTGTCATGACATGCAATAACCTGTCTTGTATGCAGGAGCTTAGAGACTACAGTTCTCTAAAATATCACTTGCAAATGTTGGCCAGTGAGAATTGGTCTGGATGGCCCGAGAATTTTGCAGAGGTGCTGTATTTCCTCATTGGTTTTCACAGGAATTAATTTCTCTAAATCCAGTTACCTGATGCAGCTGTCTGCACCATTGTATCACCCTGGAAAACTGAAATAAATAACAATATCCGATTACATTATTCTTCAGAGTTTTCTTTTAGATAGTTGAAAAATTCTATATACATTTTCATAGTTACTGCAATAACCAAACTTATGAAAAGCGCCACTGTTTAAAATAACCTCATAAAAATTAAGTTCATAAAATGAGAATTCACGGGAAGATGCATTCCCTATATAACTGTTAGGAGCAATGGTGTGTTTGGGGGGCTATTAGATGACATTAAGCTAAGGCACCCAGAAATGCCAAATCCAAACCCAACTCACAGCCACACCCTACAGTGGACACTGTCGTCCCACCCATATGTATCCTTTCAGCCCTATTTCAGTGCTGGCCTTCCGGTTGCCACATCTTTGGCTGAGGTTGCGTTCTGGCTACCAGACTATGATCTTTCTGCACATCAGGCTGACCAGTTTGGGGGAATTTACACTGAATAGGAGCAGTGCTTACCTCCACTGGCACAACTCTGGATAGAGATGAGTACCATGTGTTCAGACACCTAAAGACAGCCTAAAGCTAGGCTCTTGGATTTTTACTCTCCCTATTTTGCCTGTTAAGAGAATATGTAAAAGAAAGTTTGCACCTGACTTTTGTACTGCCCAGCCTCATCAAAAGCTTTGTTACAAAAAATGTTTACGGAGAAGCACTTACAGGATGTGTACCTGTTTGTGTCTCTAACTACATTAACATTTGCCTCTAGCTTAAGTTGGAGCCATCATAGATTGAACTGCGTACTTTTCCTATTTCACAGACTTGCCTTGACTAAGCTTACTTTAGCGTTACGCTTCTACCTTTCACTGAGGGGCCTGTAAAAAAAAGTAGTGTAGGTCCGTGATCCTTGCTTGTATTTATTACAGGAATGTTGTTAGGGATGCTAATCACATCACGTGGATTCATGAGGCTCTGGCGGGGGCAGGGGGGGGAGCAATTTTCTCAAAACTTAAACCAGGAAAAGCTGTGTTCTACTGAGCAACTGTTATCTTTTCATCCTTTGTGGATTTTGTGAATTGTGTTAACGCAGAGTTTCTGAAACTAGAATTCAGTTTACAGTGGGAGAATAAGGGTCGAAAATCATCATAAGTCCCCTTTAGAAACTGGGTCACGGTCACAAATTACTTTTTTCAAGTGCTTTTTAAATTGAATTTTAATTTTTCCTCAGAGTAATTCATGAACGTAGTTTGAAGAGTCCAATAATGCCAGGCCTCTGATGAGAAACAGAGGTTCAGATTTGGGCCTTGAGGCATTTTTATGCTAAGCTATGATTTTAAAATCACTTACCAAAATTTTAACAACAAATGGTTACTATTTTCCTTTGTTGTCCCTCGTAAGCTCATCTCTCTCCAACATTTGGATTTTCTTAGAAGCAAATCCACGATAAGAATTTGAGCACAAGGGCTTTATTTGCTAATCTTCATGCGGACATATGCTTTCATTTCTCTTAGGTAAATACCTAGAACAGCCGGATCATACAGAATGTGTATGTTTAACTTTTAAGAAATTGCCGAACAGTTCGATAGCATCTGTGGCATTTAACATTGCCACCAGCACTGCCGGAGAGTCCCAGTTGCTTCACGTCCTTAACACTCAGTATGGTCAAGTTTTGTTTTTCAAACTTCAGCCATTCTGATGGGCACATAACAGTATCTCACTGTAGGTTTAATTTGCACTTCCCTAAGGACTGTGTTGCCATCTTTTCACGTACTTATTTGCTATCTGTACATATGCTTTGCAAGTGTCCAAATATTTCCTCTATTTAAAAAATAAGGCTGTCTACTTAATGAGTAGTAAGTTCTTTATAGATAGAAATCCATTGTTGGGTATATTTGGCAAGTATTTTCTCCCAGTCTGTGGCTTGTCTTTCCATTCTCTTAAAAGTCTTTCAAAAAGAAGTTTTTGATTTTTATTTATGCAGTCTGATTTATGGTATAATTCGTGATTTTTGTGTCCTTTTTGAGAAACCTTTACCAAATCCAAGGTCACTAAAATTTTCTCCAATATTTTCTTCTAGAAGATTAATAATTTTAGCTCTGACATTAAATTTTAAAACCCTCTTCAATTCCTTCCTCTTTTGCTCCCTGCCACCAAATCCTGGCAATCCATTTTTGACATTTTCCAGAAATACTTTCTATTTGCCAAGTCATCCTATTCTACTTAGCTCTCCTCTTTCTTTGGGCTAATGGCCCAAATCTAAAACATAAACAGCTGTACTATTACAGTAACCACTGACCTCACATGGCTCTTTAAATATAAATTAAAATTTAAAAACTTAACGTGTTAGTTCCTCATTCATACTAGCCACATTTTGTGCTCAAAAGCCATATATGGCTACCTGGTTATTATACTGGACAACTCAGTTCCAGCATCCCAGAAAACTTTATTGGACAGCATTGCTATAGATTAATATTTATTTAAGCATTTAGATCAGGCACTCTAGTAAAGGTTTTAATTCTCACAAAAACAGAGGTGGACTTAATATCAGAGATAAGAAAATTAAAGTTCTATAAGAATAACTTGCCTAAAGTAAGCCTTTAAAGCTTGGCATTGCTCTTTATTGCCAATTTATACAAAGCTTTCCACAGATCTTAATCCCAGTGCTGTATACTTTGCAAACAATTTCCCTTTATTTTGTCCTTTTCTTCCTTCAGGACAGTACATATGAGAAATCCTTAATTTCACCCTACTCTTACTTCATATTCCTTCAATATACATACTTTGTCTATACCAGTATGTGAAATGTGCAGACAGAAAGTTTCAGAACCCTTAGCTATTCATGCATCTTTTCATCTGCTCCCCACTTTGCTTCTCTAGAGGACTACCAACACCACCCCAACATTTTAAGCTTCCAAGAAGAGTATGATCATACCAGCCTTTACTTGGCTACTCAGATTCACTTGGGGAGCCTTTGACTCGAGATGCTCACACTCCTACTGGGTTAGATTACCGGGGCATAGGGTCTAGAAATCAACATTCCCTCCAAGTGAGCTTGAGGTGCAACCAGGTTTACGAGGTAAAACCTCAGCTATCTCAGTCTAAAAAGGGCGAATTCATTTTCCCCTTGTTTCCTCCAAGCTAGTTAGCAGATTAGAAAGGAAACAAAAGCACAGAAATAGACAAATTTTCTACCCAGACTCCTTATACTTCATTCTTCAAGATATACACAAAGCTCAACAGAATGAAGTTTATTTATCATATACACAAGTCATGTCTGACAACTGAGAAAATGCTATTTACACAAAACAACACCGTAGATTAAAAATACATAGTATTTGTATTTTAATACAATAATAGGGCCCCAGGATACAAACAAGGAAGTCTGAGTCCAAGTTTTCATTATCAAGTTATTTGCTCTGCTACAAAGAACTACAGTGGAGGTGAACGCTGGCAGTATATTTCTCATGAGTCAGTGTTACTGAATTTCACACACATGGTTCTTCATCTGTAGAGGAGGAGACGACTTTTTCAGCACATGTGCCACCTTCTGAGTCTTCTACTTCAGAATCCTCACCAGTTTCCTCCTCAGAGTCAAATTCCTGACTATCCGGTGATTCAGAGTTATCCAGAGGTTCTTGATTCAGTCTCTTGTAAAGAATAAACCAATAATTTATTGTAAAAACGTCACAATCCAAGGCCATTATCAGTATGCTGATATAACTGACCCTCAATGTTATAATGAGGTTTCATTTCATAATGTCTCTATATTAAATTCACTTACATGCAGTCAAGTGTTTGTTAGATCAAAGTGCTAACCATATTAGATCATATTTCTGCAAAGTCACAGTGTTTAAAAATTTGCTTTTTTTTTTTTTTTTTTTTAAAGTACTCACATGCTTTCAGAATACAATTTAAATCAGTACCTCTCCAACTACCTACAGTAGGACCAGGTTTCCCAATTTCCCATCTGCTTTGGACCAATACTTCCATGGCAGCTAAGAGAGGAGCTAGTACAGTGCTTCCAAATGAAAACTTCAAACATGAGTTGTGTCACAGCACTAAAATGTACGGCAGAAATTCAGTACAAGAGAAGTTTTGATATGAAAAATGTCCTCCCCAACAGCAAGATAATTTTTTGCAGACATGAATGAGTTTAAGACCTATTTTTTAAGACTGGTAAAGTAACAGTCATCAGGCTAATTCTTATAAACACATTAGCTACTTCCAAATTAAAAAAAAAAAGGCAGATAAGACGACCGAAGTTATTTCGTACACCAATTACCAGTTTTATAAATGACAGTAGTATCTCATTCGCATTATAGTTAAATTAAAAACTGTCTGGAGATATATATATATATATATATATATATCTGATTCACTTTGCTGTACACCTGACGCAACGCTCTAAATCAACTATACTCCAATAAAATTTTTAAAAAAACAACCTGTCTGAAAATTTGACCACTGTGAAATATAATTTTCCATATATTTTTCAGATGTAAGTATTCCTTTCTATATTGTTACAAGAAAATAGGTGTTCTTTTGCTTCATAATAATAGCATCTAACAATTATTGAGCTCTCACTATGTACAGGCAATTCTCTCAATTTTCTACCTATTCTCTACTTGTTATTCTCATAGCAAGCCTATAAAGGTAGGCACTATTACTCCCATTTTATAAATGAGGAAAATGGAGCCCTGACAGGATAAATAACCTGCTTGACTCAAACTTAATGGTGCTAGGTAGGGGGCTAGGACTCAAACCCGGGAAATCTCTTCCTGGAGCCCAAACACTTTCTGATCACACTACTGCCTCAACTTTATAGAAAAATAGATGCCTCTGAATCAGGGGAATGTTAAAATACCTACCTCTATTATCTCTGCCATATACTGTACATGTTCTGCTACTTCTGCCAATTCCTTATTCTCCTTCTTCAGGCGGGCAATTTCACTGTCCTTTTGTTCAATTTCTTTATGAAGCTATGTGACATAAATCAAAAGGTTCAGTTTTTCATAGATCTGCTATGCTATAAACCAAATTATATGCCTCCAAGTATATAGCTGACACACATTTAGCACAAAGTTCCTAACAAAGGTGCTGTCTTTGGCTCTCAACACAATAGGCTTCTTTTTGTATAACAATTCTGGTAACAGAGTTGCCTAATAAAATTTTTATTAAGACAACATTAAAGCTAGTTTATATTGCTCTAATAAAATATCCTGAGCAGCAGAAAGAAAATAATCCTGGAATGTTTAAAAATTCCACCAATTATATTCAGTACATACTTTCTCATTTTCCTTAAGTGCTTCATAGAGAGCCTTCCTCCGTTTTTCCGCCACTTCTTTCCAATATTGAGAGGATGGATTTTCTAAAATAAATTGTTTTACATGTAACTTTGAAAATCATTACTGTTATATACTGCTGTAAAAGCCCAATAACTAAAAAAAAAACAAAAAAAAATAACTTTTTTGTCTATTTTTTTAAAAGTTTACAATATCATTCAGTACTTAGTAATACCCATTTTTTTAAAGATTAAAGTTAGAAAGCCAAATCAGTTTTTTTCTGTTATTTTTCCCAACATTTTGAAGATTTCAATCCCTTCAAAGGAATTGAAACACAAGTACAATAAACTTTAACCTAGATTGTTAAAGGTGTTTGCAACATTTGCTTTGTGTGTTCATATTTTTTAATTTGTTTAACATTCACATTTGTGAAAAGTCCAGATCAGTTATTTTTACACTGTCCTTAAATTTGGATTTGTCCATTTCCATGATTAAATTCAAGCTACACAAGTTGGCAGGAACACTGTGTAAGAATGTTGTATCCTTCTCAGTGTATCACCAAAGAAGCACATACTAATTGGTCACAATACTGGAGATGTTAAATTTGATCACTTGATTAAGATGATTTCTCCCTTGTAAAGATACTTTTTTCCTTTAGTAACAAATAAATGATCTATGGAGTAAAAGTTTTGAGTCTGTGGTATTAATATCCAGTTCCCTAACGACCTTTCACCCAGTTTTACCTCCACTGATGTTTCTTGTTCCTTCTATATTTAGTAGTTGGCATTATTCTGTAAAAGAACTTTCCCTA